ATTGGAGAAATGAGAAACTTGAGGTACCAAAATTAATAGGTTTCTCTATCCTTGGCTGCCATGCATCCACTGCCACTCCATCATTTTCCTCAGGTGCTATAATAATTTCTGCAGTGCTGTAAGTGACTTCTCAAACACAAGTTGGACCAGCTGAATTTTTCCCCAGCCACTCTGGGCGGCTTCCAACAAAACACTAAAATGCAATAACCTATTAAACATTAAAAGCTTCCCTAAACAGGGCTGCCTTCAGATGTCTTCTAAAAGTCTGGTAGTTGTTCTTCAATTTGACATCTGGTGGGAGGGCGTTCCACAGGGCGGGTGCCACTACCGAGAAGGCCCTCTGCCTGGATCCCTGTAACTTGGCTTCTCGCAGCGAGGGAACCACCAGAAGGCCCTTGGCACTGGATCTCAGTGTCCGGGCAGAACAATGGGGGTGGAGACGCTCCTTCAGGTATACTGGACCGAGGCCGTATGACATTCTATGGCTTCGTATGATTTATATTTCCACAAAACATCCGATAAAGACTTGCCACCACTTGTGCTGCTTCTACCCATCTGTCTCAACTACCAGCTGTCAGCACCTGATGCGTGGCAAAAGCAGGGGAAAGTTCTCCTGACCACTTGATACAGATCCCTGGTTATCCAAGCACACGGTGGCAAGTGCTCATCGATACCCAGGCAGAGATAAGCCAATAAACATTCCCTTGTATCTTCCTTTCCCGGATAATTTATTCTCAACAAAAATATGATGTTGGGACGAGGACACGTGACTCAACCCCCATCCGTATATAGATCAGATGATTATTTTGTGCTTGCGTGGAGACTCTGAGCCATGTGAGCTGTGAAACTCGTCACAATAGCTTGGGGAGAAGCCTTTTAAAATAGACACTCTAAGCTAAAAGTGCGCGCATCAGCATTTAGAGTGAATAAGAAAAGAGAAAGGGAAAGGGGGGGGGGAATCCACAATCTGCTGCTAACCAGCCACAGAAGCTAGGGAGAACTCTTTCAAAACCTTAGACAGGTAATTTACCAGAACCAGCTGGCTTCCTTTTCTCCCCCTGACAGTAACATGCCCTCTAGCTATGCAGTCCATGCTGTGGCCACCTCTCTTCTCTCTTCAACATGCCAGCAAGTCACTCACCCTGCTTCTGGTTTGTGCAGCATGGGGCGTTAATTAAACTTACAGATGAAGCATTATTTCACATTTCCTTCGTGCTGTTTGGCTGGCTGGCATCCTACCATATGTAGGGTAATATGTATCACACAGTGTAGCTGATGGCGCATAACAGCACTGGAGTCATCATTTCTCCGGCTGCAAACTCATAAATACATACATTATGTATTAAAAAATGGCACCGTATTTCAGGCATGATAGATAAAAATTGGACTTTTACAATTTAACTATATATAATGGCCAGTTATTCTTCCCGCTATGGATTGATTTGTAAAAGAAAGACTCCACGAGTCAGACAAATAGATTTACCATGGAAGCTCTTTTCAAAGGCAAGCGGCTTAAATATACCTAGTCTTGTCGTTTTTATTTTTTTTTTATTTTTAAGAAACAGATAACGCTGCTCAAACTGATTTATTCCGACTTATCTCCTACAGCTAGGCCTTATTTCCTACAGCTAAGCTCTACAACATTTTTAAAAGAGTTAATATAATTCTGTGTTCATAACCTATATCACTTTTCCTTCGCAGGGTATCTATTGGATATTTAGGAGCTGGGGTATTGTTTAGGGGGTCTTGTTGGGACAAGCTGTTGATGTTATTGATATTTTTTGTATCTTCATTTTAGATCTGGTGATTTATGTGGAAATTGTTCCATTTGGCTGTGTATTTTTTATTACTACTTTTCTTACATTGCAATTATGCATCTTTTTCATGTCATAAGCCACCTTGAGCATGGTCTGAACTATGGAAAGGCAGCATACAAATATAATTATGTATGTATGTATGTGTGAATTGTGCATGTAATGAGCACTAAATTACCTGGTTGGATTTGTTGTTGGACATACCAAAGCTTTTGCCCCCAAAGTCTATCCCAAGTCTAGCTTTGCCTATCCTAAACCCAACTAAAAACCAAATTATCCCCATCATGGCCTCAAAATAACATTATCTTGAGGGGTTCTGATCCATCATGGAATGTTCCCACTTGAATCTCCCAACCATTCCCTCTCACACTTACATGAGCCTCCAAGGCCCATCAACCTCCAAACCCTTTCCCTCCCAATGGCAATGTGAGGAAAGAAGGAAGCCATTCTCCGTTCCTCACCTCAGTAACACTATGAAGCAAACCGAGATCAGTATATGGAGCCCTCTCCGTGGTAACCACAGCCTTCTCTTTTATCTACTGGGAGGAAGTATTTTACTGCAATAGCACCAACACTTAACAGCCCTTCCCTCAACAAGACATAGGCAGGATACTCCATCTTTTTGTCACATGAATCAAATATATTTGTTCATACAGTCATTTCCTGACAATGTTGCCTGCACACCAAGAGCCACCAGAATGGGATGTATATGAAATGCTGTGAAGGGCTACAGGAAAAGTCTATCAGGGACTGCAGGGAAGAGTGGCCAGAGAAAGAGCCCAAAGTGGCTGGGATTTGCACCGTTGAAGGATTGTCTAAGTTCTCTTTCTCTGTACACCATGCCACTCCATATCTACAGGCTACATGAAGATACGCCTGGAACCAAAAGTCCTCCCACCACTGAGAAATATGTAACCCACTAGTCCATGTAATCTGCCTTAATTGACTTGCATGTACAAATTAAGAATTTTGTTCTTTCAGAGAAATGTGGCGCTCCAAACATGGTGGAGCCATTAGGGAGATGTTTCTTAATAAGCATAGGAGGTTTCTTACCACCCATTCTTCTGCAAACCCATGTTCAAAACCTAAAGACAGGAGATTTCACTCAACTCAGGAGCCACAGTCAATTCCTCCCATCCTTTATGCATACAGTGGTCATGCTCATCCAGACTACCTACCTTCATGCCACTCAGACAGAGTTATTTGCTTTTCACACCAAGGCCACACAGGCATTTACTGCTAGATTGGATTGGCATATGTTGCCCTTCTCAGTGAGACTGCTCACGACTCAAACACAATGGCTACCCAGAAGCTTTCTGTTCAAGATGAAGGTAGTCTTCCCTTACCATTTATGACCTCATTGCTCTGCTAAGGCATAGCTTTACACTTAAGAGTTCACCATGGGAGTTTCTCTGTAGGCATCAATACTCAAATCCTTCCTTCTTTTCAAATCATGTTCCAGGGAATCCAAGAAAGATTTTGAGGGCTTCTTCAATAATGACCTAGCTTCCTTAAAACAAATCTTCCCTTGAAGTCCTGGATGTGTCCTAGGCACACTCAATGTTCACATGGATTAGTAGTGACACATTAAGGTCTTGATTCCTGCCCTTATGTGAATGGATTTGTTTACCTGGAATACGTTACAGAAGCCTCACCAATGCATATCTGGTTCTTCAGTAGACAGGTCATTGTGGAAACATGGTTAGTGTTCTCTGAACATTAGGGATGATTGGAAAGTCTACATGAAAAAGACTAGAAAGTCTATTTATTTTCAGATTACCTGTTTATTGAGCATTGCCATTTGTTTGCAGTAAGGTTAGACAAACTGATTTGGTTGGCTGTCTATTGAGCTTTCATTCTGACTTATTGCCTTATTCTTTCTGACATCTCCCACACTTTACAATAGATTTCCCCGTCGCTTTTCTTGTCACAAAACGTCCAATCTTTTCAGGGAGTGAGTTGGCAAGAGCTCCAAACCAGCTTTAATTGTGCAACCGGAATTTGCCAGGATGTGACTGAATGCCACATGACCATGGAAGCGACCATCGAAAGCTTGGGCCAAAACGTCTGTCTAGACAGAAAAAAAATCTATAGAATAAAGTCAAATTATTTGTTTTAAAAATTACTAAATTCAGAGGAACCTAATTGCTTCATACCCTCTCCTCTCTAGGAGGGGGCCAGGGAAGAACACTTTTCCTTGACATCAGTGTCTATGGGGTTTATGTCAGCATGTGTCTTCTGATACTGCAATTTGCTTGCCTGTACACTGTCAATGAGAATTCCACTTTCCTGCTAAGTCAATACAATTAGATTACTACCGAGACTTCATTACAGCCACAAGCAGGACAGCCGCTGAGGTATACAATTTTCACCCTATGATCCCAGAACTACTAAACAGTTATTGGAACAATTGTCTATAAAAGGACAATAAATGCCTCTATCTTAAATATTGTTTTCCAATGCCATTTTCCCACTGAAAGGGAAAGGGAGTTAAATGGGGGGAACGACTGTAAGTTAGATACTGCTATTAGCATTACCGCTTAGTGAGAACATTTGCTGGTGCTCTGTATTTAACATACTTAATTATAATGCATGTCATGCAATCACATTCGCGGCATGCACTCAGGAAGAATAATCCTATGATGAACAGTTTCCATATTTTCAGAGATTTGGGAGGAGGATATGGATGCCTTCCAGCGCAAAAGGTTAAGAAGGGAGGGGGGGAGAGGTGCATTTATTTATGTAAGCAGAGAAGTGGTGCTTCTGCAAGTGGTGCATATAACAACATTATCAGTGAAACACAGGTAAAATTAGCAACACTGGTAAAAAGCAGGTATACTAAACATTATCAATAAAATGCAGAAATCACCAATAGTATACAGTGGTACCTCAGGTTACATACGCTTCAGGTTACATACACTACAGGTTACAGACTCCGCTAACCCAGAAATAGTGCTTCAGGTTAAGAACTTTGCTTCAGGATGAGAACAGAAATTGTGCTCCAGCGGCGCGGTGGCAGCAGGAGGCCCCATTAGCTAAAGTGGTGCTTCAGGTTAAGAACAGTTTCAGGTTAAGAATGGACCTCCGGAACGAATTAAGTACTTAACCCGAGGTACCACTGTGTGTGTGTGTGTATGTGTGTGTGTGTCTAAGTAGCCTTGGTTGGGGGCAGGGTGGCGAGGAGAGGAAGTAGCTCAGTTGGTTAGAGTGTGGTGCTGATAACACAAAGGTTGCAGGTTTGAGCCCTGTTTGTGACAGCTGCATATTCCCGCTTTGCAGGGGGTTGGACGAGATAATTGTCAGGGTCCCTTCCAGCTCTAAAATTCTATGATTCTAAGTTTTCAGCAAGTGTTTAATCAATACAGAGAAGGCACCTGCCTAATGCCAATAAGACGGGGGGTTCAAAACCATAAGTGCAGCCACGCTAAAAGATTGTCTCCAACCAACATGATACAGCACCTGTAAACGTTTTAAGTTCTGCATACCAAAATGCTTGAATATATGGAAAGGGATCCCTAAAGTAAACTGATTCTATGCTGTTAAGGGCATTATGTACCCATAATAAAACCTTGAACTTAGTCCAGAAACAAACTTGGCAGCTAGTACAGATCTTTAAGCGCAGGTATAGGATGCTCATTGAATTTCACTCCTGTCAGCAGTTGTGCTGTAGCATTCTGCACTAATTCAGCCTCAAGGGAAGTCCCACATAGAGTGTGTTGCAGTAACTCATAAAGAAATTTTTTTAAAACAACAAAAAACACTTTTATTTTAGTTGTGCTTATTGTATAACTTTTGGTTTTGGAAACGTGGATGCAAAAGTTAAAATAAATAACCAACAAAAGAATAACTATACACCCATATTTGTTCAGTGGCCTGCCTTACAGACTCAGAATTTGCTATTTTATTTAAAAAAAATTGCAGGGAGCTAAACTAATAGCAACAGAAAACAAATATGGACCAAGGCACCACTGAGAATCTTGAGGCTGTAATTCTATCAAGCAATTCACATACTATTATAAACCCACAGAGAAAGCACTTAGGCATGTTTCTGTTACCCCATCGGGTCTCCAAAAAGAAATTATTCAAAATCTGCATCCCTACCCCTCTATTTTATGAGACATGCAGCTTCAATTTCCCATTTTCCTCTCTAGTGTTATTTTCTATCATTATACATATAGAGGTATTTAAAAACATGCTGCTTGACTTATCAGCAATGCCAGTGATTCTGCATTTAACATTTTTGGCCATACTTCCGAGATGGGAACTTCTTTCCCAGATACCAAACTGCACAACAATCTTGATGAACCTCCCCATTCCGTAAGCCTTGAAAATTCCCAGTAATGTACAAAATCCTTAAGTGCCTGGATAACTCTTTTGTTCTGTCCTTCACTACTGAATTTCAAAACAGTGCTAGGAAGAGACCCTTTAGATTTCTAAAAAAATATTTTGTATTTGTATTTTGTATGTTCTAGAGTGATATGACACTATAAACCTAATGCATCTTTTCTTTTTAAGGGACATCACTGGTTTCCTTTTCTAATGAAGTGGGTGCAATCTAAAGCCTGGGGGTTGCACCTAGTCCATTTCAGCCTCACCTCACTTTGCATCCCATCTACATTTATTACTTGGAAGACTGCAAACCATGGTGCAAATTTTGGCAGTTTACATTCAGCTCATAGGCTGTATGTGACCAGCACCTGCTCAGTAGGGTCGTTTTATTTCTTTTTCAAGTATTACGGAAAGCATAATTTATTGCCTTTCCATTACGGCCCCATCATCTGCTTTCTGAACTTTCTTGTCTGCCTGAAACCCATTATTCAATAGCACCAGTAGGCTGGAGACAGTGTGCTGATTTCAAAATGTAATCCTGGCATTTCTAAAAGGTCCGAATCTGGGAGAAGGGAGGAGGATATCTGTGCTCACCTCAGGCATATTGGTAAGCTCAGGATGAAGCCTTATCAAGCAAGAGATGTTTAGCGGTTGTTAGAGCCTGCTGAGCGGAGGCTCACTAAAAGATTAGACATGAACAGATCCTGAAGCTGAGGCTCCAATACTTGGCCACCTCATGAGAAGAGAAGACTTCCTGGAAAAGACCCTGATGTTGGGAAAGATGGAGGGCACAAGGAGAAGGGGACGACAGAGGACGAGATGGTTGGACAGTGTTCTCGAAGCTACCAGCATGAGTTTGACCGAACTGCGGGAGGCAGTGGAAGACAGGAGTGCCTGGCGTGCTCTGGTCCATGCGGTCACGAAGAGTCGGACACGACTAAACGACTAAACAACTTCTCATGGATTTTACATTGAGGGCTGACGAAATCACTTATTTAAAATACATTTCTTTAGCTTTTTAAAATAAGTATTGTTATTGAAAGTTTTCAACATAAAATAGAATAAAAATCAAACTAATCTAAATAACAAAAATTATAAGAAACCAAGAAATGAAAAAAGGAGACAAAAGAAAGGAGAGAAAGAGACAAAAAGAGATAAAGGAGGGAGGAAGTAACTATAAGGGCCCTTTATCACATTTATATCATATCATCTCTCCATAAAGGTAGACCCCCGCATCTCCCATCTGGGAGCCTACTTCTTCTCCCAGTCTCCTACTCTGAAAGAACCTTTCTACCCTGCCTTTCCTGCAGGGATCATCTCCCTCCAACTATCCCCTTCCTATGCGTGCCCTCCTCAATCCAAAATAAAGGACTTCTAATAGAGAAAATAAAATAACACAACATAAGAGGTACTTCCACCTTTCTATCAATTACATAATTACCAATAATTCAAAGTATTTAATATACACACTCCAGAGTAATTCTTGCTGTAGTTAATATCCAGCCTTCCTTTCCCATTCTGCAAGATAACATTTTCCCCAAACTTCTTTCCCCAGGCGCAATATTTAATTAATCAGATGTTCCAATATGAGTCTTCATATTTTTATGAGGCCTCGGCACCGGGGTTCCCTCACTGTGAGAAGTGAGGTTATAGGGAACCAGGCAGAGGGCCTTCTCGGTAGTGGCACCCGCCCTCTGGAACGCCCTCCCAGCAGATGTCAAGGCAATAAGCAACTCTTTTACTTTTAAAAGACAACTGAAGACGGCCCTGTTTAGGGAAGTTAATGTTTGATGCTGTATTGTTTTTAATATGTGGTTGGAAGCAACCCAGAGTGGCTGGGGAAACCCAGCCAGATGGGTGGGGTATAAATTTATCATCATCATCATCATCCCTTTTAATGGGTTTTTAACGTTTCTTCAAGTTTTTTTCTAAAACAACAACAGCAGCTACTACTGTACAACATGTGATTGGTAATATATTTGTGTTTGACAGGGATGGTTGCAAATAATGTCCCTGTAAAGCTTTCCCCCCCATCATCATCCAAACAGATTGTTCCATAGTATGCGATGTGTGATGAGAAGCGCTACAATTTCATTAGGTCTTTTGACTAGTTAAGCTATGTTGTTCATCCGCTCTTCACACAGCCACTGCTACCATAACAAAAGCAAATGGGTATGTGGCTAACAACATCTCTGTGACACTTACTTTCCCTAACAAATGTTCATGATAATCTGGAGTATGAAGCAAATATACCATATGTTTTGCTTTATTGTGAAATTTTTACCCTCTAAATAGGAAGAAGAGTTTGGTTGGTAAATTTGCGGCATAGCCAACAACAACAACAACACACTTCAATTTAATGTACTACATTAGTTTCTTGGGTGAATGACAGTGGCACCTAAACCTCAACAGATTGCTTGTTGAGAAAAATGAATCAACACATTTGGCTGAAATGATTTCCCCATTAACAAACTTTAACTGAGTTAGGAACAATCCCTCATCATGCTTCCGATTGCCAGTTGTGGTTACAAGGATATGTTGATTAAAATATTCTCCCAGCATATTTATTCCAAGATGCCCAATTTTCTGCACATTCAAACATTAAATATCGACGCCTCTGCTTGTAATCTTAAATAATGTATGAGGTCTGCCACAGCCTAGTTCATATCTGCATATTTAAAAGCATTTTCTGGGGATCACATTGGCATGCCTTGCGTGCTTTCTATGGATTTTCGGGCTAATGGATTTTCTCGTGTGTCGGTGAAACTGATTTAATAACTTTTGTTTATTGAAGATCATGGGTAGCATGAATTACTAGAGGCGCGCCACAGTTATTCAAAACCCAGTGAACGATCACCGTGAATTTAACCTTTGTGCCTTTCTAAGCAGACTGTGATTAGCATCAGTAGGCTTGGAGAGTATGATTATTTACATACCAGCTGCAATGTGTTCAAATCATTATAGGTAAAATTAAAAGATAGGCCTTGCCTGGAGGAAATTGTGATGTGTTGCAGCCCTTTTCATGGGTTCATTTATCCATCACATGGAGGAGGAAGTGAGAATGAGACACTCACCCTGCCCTATCCAATGCCATCCCCATCATCCTCAACTAGTTGGGGGATGTTCAGCTGCAAGGAGGAGCCTGTTCTACTCAGGTAGGCTCCCCTTATGGTTTAGCATCTGGGGAAATCAGTTTTCTAAAATGTACAGGGAACCTTTCTGGGTGGGAAAGCCCACACTGATGGCCACCCTCCAGTTTGTGGACTACAGTGGGGATGAACAAGGAGCAAGCATGCTCATTCCTGCTTCCTGCTCCATGGGATGCTAATAGCTTGGAGACATGAATACTTGAAAAGGACATGCTTGCATTCAAGTATATGGCAAATGTACCACCAGACATGTACAGCGAAGGAGGTATTCATTTTAAAGAGATTTATTACATTGGGGGGGGGGGAGTTGAGTTGCTCAAACTTATATTGAATGCCTTCTTCTTATTCATTTAATTTCCATACAGCCCTATACCCAAAGGTCTCAGGGTGGTTCACATAAAATATCAAATACATAAAATTAAAACAAAACTAACAACCCAATAAAAAAAAAAACCAACCCCAAAGATGTAGATTAAGTCAGGCAACAGTCTGGTTGAAAAGGAACGTTTTTGCCTAGCACCTCTTATGTCCAAACTGCTTGTTGTTGTTTATTTTTTAAAAAAGAAGTTTGACTAATTATATCCCAAATTATATGCAAAATATAGGTCTATTACATGTATCTATTATATATTTTTGGAAAGCTGTTGTTTCACTATGAGGTTTAATATATTGTAACCAGCACAATGGCTCCTGAGATCAAGCAAGGCCGCTCCTCTTCCCAGAGGGGAGGGGTTGCAAGCAGACTTTGCATCCCCACGCTTAGCAGGGGGTGTGACTAG